CCCGAATAGGCGATAAACCTGGACTAGAGTCTTGTGTGGTTAGTCAGGTCATGGCCGACTCCCTCGCCAGGCTTCCGCTTGAAGGTTGCCGAGATACATGACGTGTACATGGCGGTAAGTGGCGAGAGCATGTGTGAAGAAGTACACCCCTGCAGGGTTAACATGATCTATTCGAATAGCCGGGTCCACGGTTATGGACTTCTTGGATGCTTACATGGTACATAGACAACTTGAAGTGGATACTCTAAAATGCTCAAGACAAGTGTGAGTGCTATGGATGGCTTACCCGTAGGGAGACGGGGATGAATCCATAGTAGTGTATTGTGTGGTGATTAGTGGACTCGTGTACGTTGTCTCACCTCAAGAAGTTTCTCGTAGTCGTAGAACAGGATAGCCACTGAGTCAAAGCTGGCTTGCTGCAACTAAACCCCACATTACCCTCTTGATACAAATGCATGTATGATAGGATCTGATGTAAGTCTTGCTGAGTACCTTTGTACTCATGTTGCTTTATTTATGTTTTTGCAGCGGAGACTTCGGTCTTACTAGTGTCTTTGTGGACTTCGACAAGTAGCTTGTACCTCAGCTACGATCTTGACCGGATGATGTAGATAGTCAGGCTCTTCAGCCTTTTTCATTTGTAGATGTCTGTACTCAGACATGTAATGCTTTCGCCTGTTGCTTGTTTGCTCTGAATGTTGGGTCATGTGACCCCTATTTGTAATAAATGCTATGATGGCTCTTCTGAGCCTTTATCTATATGAGTTGTTGAGTTATACTGTGATGCCATGTTGTACAACACATACTTGCATGTTATGCGTACGTGTAATGTGTATTGCTATGTGTGGGATCTGACTATCTAGTTGTTTATCCTTAGTAGCCTCTCTTACCGGGAAATGTCTCCTAGTGCTTCCACTGAGCCCTGGTAGCTTGCTACTGCTCCGGAACACTTAGGCTGGCCGGCATGTGTCCTTCTTCGTTCCTGTGTCTGTTCCTTCGGGAAAATGTCACGCGGTGTCCATTGGAGTCCTGTTAGCCTGCTACAGCCCGGTTTACCGGAGTCCTGCTAGCCCAGTTGCTACAGCCCGGATTCACTCGCTGATGACCGACACGTTCGATGCTGGGTCATGTATGCCTGTCCCTGTAAGTTAGTGCCACTTCGGGTTCACGACTAGCCATGTCAGCTCAGGTTCTTGTCATATGGATGCTAGCGACACTATCATATACGTGTGCCAAAAGGCGCAAACGGTCCCGGGCATGGTAAGGCGACACCCGTGGGAATACCGTACGTGAGGCCACAAAGTGATATGAGATGTTACATGCTAGATCGGTGTGGCATAGAATCGGGGTCGTGACAGGTTCACATTTCACTTTTTTTCTCTCACCGCCCCTTCGTCCAACATTTCATGTATATGATAATCAATCACTTTAATTTACTTACCTTCAGAAACAATTTCATTTTAATTTACTTACCGAACTTCTAATCAAAATACAAGGGAATTCACCGACAGAATTTAATGAACATTTATTTACACAATCGCATTATTATTGACAGGTAAATCACAAGCTAACGTACCAGAATATTTATATCCCGTTACAACGCACGGGCATTGTTCTAGTATACTAATAAATATAACTGACTGCCTTTATTATTTCCTTAATTGTCATCACTCATTAGGTATGTGTCATTTTCTTCTTACTCCTTTCAAAATCAAAACCATAAGAAGAATAAATATGTGTCATTCTCTTCTTATTTAAAAATCAAAACCATAAGAAGAAAACAAGTTATACACTAATAAATATCATTGACTACCTTTATTATTTCCTTAATTCATCACTCATTAAATATGTGTCATTTTCTTCTTACTCCTTTAAAAATCAAAACCATAAGAAGAATAAATATGTGTCATTTTCTTCTTATTTGAAAATCAAAACCATAAGAAGAAAACAATTTATATACTAATCTAAACGCTCTTATATTAGTTTTACAGAGGGAGTAATAAATATCATTGATTACCTTTATTATTTCCTTAATTGTCCTTGCTCATTAAATATGTACTGTTTATTCTCTTCTAATTTTTGGTTTCCTTTACTCAGCGTCATGCATTTATTACGTATTATTTCCTTACTTGTCTAACGTGTTGGAGGCGTACCAACCATTGGGTTGAGATCCTCTGCAATACCGTATGGTGCTGTAGTGTCGATGACATGTGGGGCCAGGTCCCACATGGCAGTGACTGTACAACACCGTACAGTATTGCAGAGGATCCTAACCCCCAACCATTACTGCCATTTCTTAGTATAAGGATACTCCTTCCAGTTTATAAATAAGTGACATTTTAGATATTGCCACGGCTTTTACATGTAACTTGATTACGCGAACCAACCTGTGATTGGATAGTTAGAGGGACAGTGACATCCCAACCCACTGGGGTTCAAGTCTAGGTGTTCGCATTATTCCTGGATTTATTTCAGGATTTTCGGTGGTGTGCTTTCAGTGGGAGGAGACGTTCTCATCGACGACGAGGCACCTACGGTGATTTTGTAAAACCCAAGATGATCTGCCGGCTCAGTGTCTCGAAGGTGCTCATAGGGGAAGGGTGTGTGTGCGCGTTCATAGGGGTGAGTGTATGCGTGTACGTATGAGCGCTTGCGTATGTACCGTGTTAAAAAAAGTAACTTGATCACTATTTTCAACTACTATGTATAAAAACCAACAAAATAATAAATATTCTCAAAATTAATATGAAAACGAATTATTTGTATGACTTTTTTAATTTCCAATCAGAATATCCAACCGACATTAACATTCAAAGTTCCAAAAGACGCCTGTTCAAAGTTCTGTCTTAAATGCCATTTATCGATGAATTCGAGGGAATGTACTACTATTATCATTATAAAAGTAGTACACAGTTGTACTACAACTAATGTGCCCACACAAAAGATGTGGATTGTGGTTCGATGTTATTTCCAGGACGCTGCTATGTACTTATTTGTGAACTTCACACTTTTTATGCACAGCAAGTTGATTTCACATATATTCCTCCGTGGAGCAGCAGTTCGTACGCTCACACGTGGCCACACATGTACACGGCCCTTTCTTTCTTGCGGGGCACATGCGCATGTGCCCGACTGCATGATACGCCAGTCTGACGCGATCAGCCAAGTAATATGTTTAAGCGCTCGGACTAATCTATGTTGGTTTCGGTAAATGCCTTGGTTATCATGAGATAGACACTTGTACAAGAAAGATACTCCTGTGTTCAGTTAATTATAATAACCCGTCACCCACGTGCTTGGTTGTTGTTTAACCTCTGGCGAGCCGCGATGCACTCACGCACAGAAGGATGTCTCCCGTTTTACCATTCTCTATGTGAGACAGGATCAACCGAAAAGCGCGCCCCGCCGTCGACGCGGATCGCCGTTCGTCGGAGCGTCGGCCCGCGGCGGCGGCGCAGCGCCGGCCCCAGCTGCTCCGCCGCAAACGGCCGAGCCACCGAGGCGCAAAGGGGATCTAGCTGTGAGCTAGTACTAGGTCCGTTGTTTAACTAACCACCGCCCTGTACCAACCAGCGGGATAACCTTCGCCGTCGCTGTCCAGCCCATATTTGACCGGTGTGGACGCATGTCAGCGTCGATCACCCGTGGCGCATCGGGTCATCAGGTCCCTTTCTTTCGTGGTAAGGAACAACAAATTCGTGCCGAACTAGTGGCCAGAATTTCCGAAAGGGGGACAGTGAGTGGATGAACAGCGAGCAGCTCTCCCTGTTTGTCGCCTGGACTTGGGTGGCACGTTCCGATGATCGATCGATCAATCAATGGGGGTCCGAGCCGGCAGCCAAAGTAGATCGACATGCTTATCACCGACGGTCTTATCATGAACGGAACTCAGAGGCTGAAGAAACTGACCCGCAGGCAGCACGTTCCTTCCCAAAACGGGGAAAAGTTTGTGCTAGAAAACAACATGATAAATCGTTGTGCTACGATCCAATTCCAAAGGCGCGGCAAAGTGCGAACACGACGAGGATTTTGCTGCACCGCACACGGCACACCGGCTGGCTCCACCGCAGTCCAGCTACATCGGAAAGTCAGGACCGGAGGCGCGCGTCCCCGGCCAGAGAGCGCGCGGCGTGATCGGCGGAGGCGACGAATTGGACGCGCGCACGAGGCGGGGGCGAGCCGACAACCGGCGCCGAACGAATGGAGACCCAGAGGCCAGCTGAGCTGAGATCGGATCTGATCGGCAGCCACAACAACCACGCGGACAAGCGTCACCGCTTGGACCGCGGCAGAGGCGAGCGGGATTGATGAGGCCGGCACGCGGCCAGACGCAGAGCGGCGTCGGCGTCGACCCGTCGGCAGATGGATGCTAGTAACAGGAGTGACAGGGAGGGAAGCCTACTCCTTGACGAGGCCAAGCGCTGATCTGGGCCGTCGGTCTGGTCTGGTGGCCGCAACGTGTAGGGTGTGGTGCCATCCATGGTATGCCGGTGGTTTTTCTAGTAGTGATTTAATTTATTTTGTGAGACGAGGAAAGCCGGGTGGCTGGAAAGAAGGGAGGGACATGCGGGAATGATAAGGGCCACCAGGCCCGGGAAAGGAAAGCTGCCGATCCAAACCAAAAGCGGCGGTCTGCGCTCCTTCCCCTCGTCCACACCCCACAACTTGGCCCCCCAGCCCCACCCTACACACACACACACCCGGCAGCACAAGAGCAGAGCAGAGCAGAGCAGAGCACGAGCGCGAGCAGCCTAACTCACGCCTCCCCTCCCCACTGTGTCTGCCTCTGCCTGCCCGTTCATTCCCTCCCCGGTTCCGTCCCCACCGAGCTCCTCCACGCATCCGGCCAGCTCCACCGCCGGATCTGGGCCGGAGGAGGGGCGCCCGCCTTCCTCTTCCTCTCTTCGGCTGCCCCGCATCTAGCTAGGCAGCCAGCCAGCCAGGAGCGCGCGCGCGAGCTTGGTCGGAGGAGGGGGGGAAGGAGGGATCGAGCGGCGGCGATGAAGGCGGTGGAGCGGGCGAAGCTGGTGCGGAGCCTGCGGCAGGAGTCGCGGCGGCTGCGCCTGCTCGTGCTCGTCATCGGCTTCTTCCTCGTCACCCTCACCTTCGTCGTCCTCTCCAAGCCCGACGCCCTGCTCTTCAACCGTACGCACGCCGCACTCACCCCACGATTCTTTCTTCCTTTCTTTCTTTCCTCCTTCGATTCTTCATTTCCTTCTTGCAACCAAGCAAGGAATCATTCGCCCGCTGGTAAAATGGTAACTGACCGGAGCGCCCGCTCGCCCCCATTCGCAGTGAACGGCCGGCTGTCGGTGGACGAGGCGCCGCGCTCGCTCCTGATCCGCCAGGCCACCGACGCCGACGCCACCGCCGACCCCGCCCAGAGATCCGCCGCCGCCCAGGACCCCAAGCCGCTGGACGACTTCGAAGACGCCGAGGCCAACGCCAACACCAAAGGTTCCACCCAATTAACCACCTCCAAATCAATTCCTGGGGCCTAGCCTCAATTAGTTAGCCTAGCAAAGTACTGTTTTATCTTGGAATTTCTCGACTGAGATGTCCCTCGGCGACAGCGACCACCAAAGACTCGGAGGAGAGGGCGCACACCGTCCGCGATCCTCAGCAGAGCGGCAAAAAGGAGCCTGAATCCCGGCTGTTAGGTGAGCGGTTGCCCTCGAATCCCTCAATAATTTCTTTGTCCGATGCCCACCGAGCTTGTTGCCTTGCGATCCCATCCACGGGCTCCAGATTGCAACAGATTTGGCCTCCTTGAAACGATGCTCAACTTCCTGCTTTATGCGTGAACTTTACCATCTTTTAGGCAGTGGTGGAGGTGAAGGGGAGAAGAAAGGGCATCGCAAGGTGACCCTCCCAACCGTCTCTAACTATACCATCCGTGACGCCGAGGACGGCGACAATGCCAAGCAGCAAGGTAGCTGATTCATAGTACTTCTCATGTTTCTTGGTCTAGCTGTTGGTAATTAGCTGCTTGAGAATTGTTAATTAATGACTGTGATGGTACTTGCTTGCTCTTCTGGTGGGTGTGCTGACTTGACTCTACTGATGTGTCTGCAGATAGCAGACCGGAAACAGAAAATAAGCTTGAAATGGTCGCCGGCAAAAGCGATGGATCTCAGCAACAAGGTAGTACAAAATGAAAACATATGCCATGAGATCAAATTCATCATATGTTCATTTGAATCTGCTGGTCTTGTTCCTAATTCAGAGCACACTGTTCTATTGAGTCATCTTTAGGCTGATGAGATATTGGCATATGCATATGTCCAACTCTTTCTGTTTCCTCTGATTCAGCTATATACTTCATGCATCTTGCAGATTGGGATGATGCGGAATGGGGGAGCAAACCACTTTGTGATTTCTCAAACTTCAGAGCTAATGTCTGCGAGATGCGGGGCAACATCAGGATTCACCCGAATGCGAGTTCGGTGATGTACATGGAACCTGCCAGCTCAAAGAGAAACGAGCTATGGAAACTTAAGCCCTACCCTCGTAAAGGTGATGAGCTCTGCCTCAGCAAAGTTACAGAGCTGACGGTGAAATCAAGCAAAGTGGCACCTGAGTGTACCAAGTACCACAATGTGCCCGTCGTGGTCTTTGCTCTGACTGGATACACCGGAAATCTGTTCCACGACTTCACCGACGCGCTTGTCCCCCTCTTCACGACGGCAAGCGAGTTCAATGGCGAGGTCCAGTTCCTCATCACAGATATGGCAATTTGGTGGACAAGGAAGTACCATGTGGTGTTTAAGAAGCTATCCAACTACCCCTTGATTGATTTCAACAAAGATACTGATGTGCATTGTGTCAAGCATGCCATTGTTGGCCTTCATGCTTACATGGAGTTCACCATTGACCCCTCCAAGGCTCCTCACAACTACACCATGGTGGATTTCAACAGATTCATGCGCAGGACGTATGAGTTGCCTAGGGAGGCCGTGTCTGCGCTCGGCGAGATCCCCAAGGCCAAGCCGAGACTGCTCATCATCTCAAGGCAGAGAACAAGAATGTTCCTCAACCTCCCGGAGATCATCGCAATGGCCGAGGGGCTGGGTTTCGAGGTCGTGGTCGAGGAAGCCAATGTGAGCTCCGACCTCTCCCAGTTCTCCAAGGTGGTGAACTCTGTGGATGTGATGATGGGTGTCCATGGTGCCGGGCTCACAAACTGTGTGTTCCTGCCACACAATGCCACCTTGATCCAGATCGTGCCGTGGGGTGGCATAGAGGGCGTGTGCCGGATCGATTTCGGCGACCCGGCGGAGCAGATGGGCCTGCGGTACAAACAGTACAGCATCGCCGTGCACGAGAGCAGCCTCACCGACCAGTACCCACTGGACCATGAGATCTTCAAGAACCCGCTGGCTTTCCACAAGGGGTTCGAGTTCATCAAGGAGACCTTCATGGACAAGCAGAATGTCAGGCTTGACTGCAACCGGTTCAGGCCTGTGCTGCTGCAGACCCTTGATCTGCTAAACCAATAAGATAAGAACTACTGATCCGCCATTGGCCATTGTATTAGATGGTTCTCCATACACCTTTTTTCTTTTTGGCTCACCGTTCTTCTCTTCTCTTTTCTTCTTCTCTAGTAAAAATTTGTTGATCGCCTTCTAGTACATGAGCAAGGAACAGACTTATCTGTCTAGAATTGTACACATGGATATGAAGCTGGGATGTCCATGATTTGTCGTTTATAGCATATTTATTGTCTGGAAATAGAAGAAAAACAATACATTTTTTTCTTTGTAAATTGATGTACACCTGTTGCCGTATTGGGCATGGAAATATCAGTGCATGGAGCGTGGTGATCAGGTCAGTGAGGAGGAATGTTCCAGGCCTACTGACACCGAGCACCAATAGGAATTTACTAGGTGGAGGTCACCATTTCTGTGCTCTGTGATTCATCCGATTCTTCTCACTTTTTTGCTGTGCACCATTTTTTGATCTAGTTAGGTGTCAGGTGCTAGAAGTTTAGCTGGCCAGGCCTCTTTCTTTTATTTTCTTTTTTCTTTTTTTGCTTTTTTTTGCGGGTGACCTTTTCAGTTTTTGCTGGTGAGGAAAACCGAAAGCCTATGGTTATTGATCTACTTAGGTGTGATTTTGACGTGCTAAAAGTTTAGCTGACCAGGCATTTTTTAGAAGTTTTTGAAGTTGGTTGACTAGAGTAAAGCCTCCCTCCTCACGATCTCCGCACGTGAGCACGTGGATCGCATCCTCTTTGCCTGTCGCTCCGGCAGCCTGAGGTGGGGAGTGAAGTCCTGGTGCCCCGGCTCCAGCTAGTAGGTAGGTTAGGGTTTCAGTCCTTGTAGAGGCGACACTTGAGCGGATGGCTACACTTTACCTTCGAGTTGGTCTTCTGGTCTTTGATCCTCCTCAAGTTTGTCTGTCGGGACATATTAGATTAGATGGAGTTCCGACATAGATTCCTGCCGGCTCCTCGGAGCGGCGAGGTTAGGGTTTCTCGACTTGCGTACGTGACAATGAGATTTGGTGTCAGGTTCACGTTCATTGCATTGATTAAGGGGGTTCAACTTCAACGAATGTGGACCGAGGCGTTGGTTCTTAGGGGCATGCGCATGAAGATTTCCAGACTGTCATGAACAAGGTCAGACTGTTTCAGAGAACTTAATATAATTTCCATATGTTTAAGGTGCTTTGTACTTTTGTGAATCTTTATAACAAATATGTCTTTGTTTTACAAAAAGTGAAGTCAAATAAAAAATAGCAGGAAAATAAATAAATCCTACTGAAATGTAAAATTAGAGCGAAAAGATGAAACTAATGGTGGCAACTGAACATAATGAGTTCACCAAGAACGTGTAATGTAACCAATAGTGACAAGTCAACATACTGACATTTTTTAACATAGATGCTCACATACGCTCAACCCTACAGAGTGCCAAGTATAGGACTTGAACCCGGTGGGTTCATTCCACAGAAAAAAGAACCATCCATCTTAGGCCTTCCACTATGTGTTAGGTGCCAAAAGTCTGAAAAGTTTGCCACCTACACATCGATGCCAGATACAGAATATTTAGCACCGCCCACACAACGTTGAGAATTAGGCATCGATTGAAATTCTGGCCCACATATATAAAATAGTATAGACCAGACCAAGACATCCCACTGTCAGCGTCTCTCCTTCCTGCCTCACTGCACTCTTCCTGGCCCACTGCACGTACATCGCGCTTAATTTATTTGATTGAAAGATTTGGCTTCGGAGCATGTAGGTGCTCCGGTGCCCAGAAATTTTTATTTGGCATCGGCTTGGCAACATAGGGCATCGGTGCCAAATGTCCAAAAAGCAAATTTGGCATCACTTTTGGCCTACATAGTGGAAGGCCTTACACACCCTTCATTTTTATATAGACTGAAAGTTGAGTGGAGTGTCATTATGACTGCATGCATGCAAGTATTAAATAGGTTATTAATACAGGGAAATATCATTAACTTTTCTCTCGATTATTGTTGATACCCTTGTATAGATGGAAAGGATATTTTCCATAGTGGCCTTGTATAAGTAAATAGAGGGGTACTAACTTTTAATGCCAATTCTCTACTCCGAAAGGGGGAGTTGGTAGTTTCGCCTCACTTCCACCAATCCCTCGGCAAACCCTATATTACGCCAACGAGTGTCCTGCAAGCGGCCTTTCGCTCAAGCGTAGAAAATTTGGATCGGTCCATTTGATGTGTGCATTAACTCAATCAAATCGACACTTTCCAAAAAAATCACACATTAACTCATTCAAATGAACTAAATCTAAACTTTCCTTGTATTTCACTACTTATACCCGAACCAAATCAAATCTTAACAAAACTGTTAGACTATTACTTGGCTCTCAAGTTACCTAATCCTAGTCGTATTGTAACAGTCCTAGTCGTATTGTAATAGGTATGGTTGGCTTGTAAACTCTTATATATACCGCTCTATGTGGCCGGCAAATCAATAACAATAGTTTTATTCAAATCTTACATGGTATCTTAGAGTTCCTGGTCCTAGGGTATGGCTCCGCCGCCCACCCCATCGCCGCTGCCGCCGCCCAGCTACTTTGAGCGTCGGGCCGCTACCCTCGCCCGCGCCGCCGCCACAGCTTCCTCCTCCTCTACCCTAGCTCTACTACCACCACCTATGCCCCCGGTGCTCTCCCTCACCGATACAATCTCGGATATTAGTCCTTATATCCCCATCACCCTCGATCTCAACTCCCACAACTACTACCATTGGCGCCACCTCTTCAAAGTTCACCTCGGGCGCTGCAATCTTCGCTCCCATGTCGACGCCACCGCCGTGCCGCAATCCCATGATCCCCAATGGGTCAAGGATGACCTCGCCATCATCCAATGGATCTACATGCGCGTCTCCACCGAGATCTTCAACCTTGTCTTTCGGGATGCTGCCACCGCCGCCGGTCTCTGGGTGGCTCTTCAGCAGCTGTTCCAAGACAACGTCGATGCTCGCACCAATCTACTCCACACCGAGCTCAGGAATACGGTGCAAGGCGACTCCTCTCTCAGTGTCTACTGCCAACGCCTCAGGTCCATCGCCGACGAACTCCGTGAACTTGGTGATCCCGTTGAAGATCGGCAGCTCATCAACATCCTCCTCATCGGGCTCAGCGAAAAGTTCGACAAGCAGGCCTCCTTCATCCCCATGATGCGGCCTCAGCCAACTTTTGCCGAGGTGCGCTCCATCCTCCAGTGGGCCGACCGTGCTCAATCCAACAAGGACGCTCGCCCTCAGCTCTTCGTCGCCGTTCCGCGTGCTCCGGCACCCGCGGCGCCACCTCCACCAGCGGTGCCTCCCTCCCCGGCAGCGTCCGCTCCGCCGCCGGGCTGGCGTCCCAGCCCTAATTATCGCGGCAAGAACCCCATCTACAGGCCACCTTCGACGCGCTCGGCGCCTACTCCTCCACCTTCGCCAGCTCCAAGTACGCCACCAGCAGCTACGCCTTGGCGTCCTCCACATGATCCCTGGAAGGGGCTCGTCCAAGCTTGGCCTATGTCATGGTCCGCTCCGGCTCCCCTAGGCGCTCCACCAGCTTATACCGGTGCCTGGCAGCCCGGCGTGTGGCCCCACACTGGCGCTCCAGGATTCCTCATGCCTCGCCAGCCGGCCCATGCCTACCATGCTGCTCCAACATATGGCGCTCCCTACTATGCTGACGGAGGTCACTACTACACTCCATCGCCGGCCCTACTGTCCTCGCCGTCGTACCAGCCGGCTCTGCTGCCAACACCGACCTCTGCTGCACCGCCAAGCCGGGACCAAGCCGCCTTCATCCAGGCCATGAATAATTTTGCCGCCCAAGGCAACACAGGTACGGATTGGATTTTCGATTCCGGTGCTTCTAGTCATATGTCTGCAAATAGTACGTTTCTCTCCTCTTGCACTTCACCCCTCTTTAAATCCATCACCCTCGGTGACGGTTCTTCTATCCCCATCTACTGTGTTGGTCAGGCTCAACTTCCCTCCACCACTAAACCTCTTCTTCTTCGTGATGTACTTGTTGCTCCTGCCTTTATCAAAAATTTAATTTCTGTTCGTCAATTCACATGAGACAATCTTGTTTCTGTCGAATTTGACCCCTTTGGCTTATCTATGAAGGATTATCAGACCAAGGTCGAGATCGTGCGGTTCAATAGCTCCGGTGACTTATACTCTCTCAATGGTGTTCCTGCTGCCGCTTCTCCAACCTCCATGCTGGCATCTGTCGATCTCTGGCATCGGCGTTTAGGGCATCCCAACCCTGCAGTTTTAGCATCTGTTCTTAGTGAATTTACCATACCTTGTAATAGAGATTCTCACGATTCTTCAGTTTGTGAGTCCTGTCAATTAGGCAAGCATGTGCGTCTTCCTTTTAGTTCGTCTAGTTCTTCAAGCACTTATCCTTTTGAATTAATACATTGTGATCTTTGGACATCGCCTATTGCTAGTGTCTCTGGTTTTAAATACTATCTTGTCATATTAGATGATTTTACACATTTTGTCTGGACCTTTCCTCTACGCAACAAATCCGACGTTCACGCTCTCTTTCTCAATTTTCAGCGATACGTCTCTGTGCACTTCTTCCTCCCTATTCGCTTCATCCAATGTGATAATGGTCGTGAATTTGATAATATTAAAAATCGCACCTTCTTTCTTAACCATGGCATTCTTCTCCGTTTTTCTTGTCCCTACACTTCTCCTCAAAACGGCAAAGCTGAACATTCTCTTCGTACTATCAATGATATTATCCGTACCCTTCTTCTTCAATCTTTCATGCCACCCCAATACTGGGCTGAGGCTCTCCACACCGCTACATATCTTCTCAATATCCGTCCTACCAAAGCCAATCCCAATATCACCCCCTATTTTTCTCTGTTTCTGTGCCATCCAAACTACTCCGACATTCGTGTTTTCGGTTGTCTCTGTTTTCCTAACACTTCCGCTACCGCTGCTCATAAGCTCTCTCCCCGCTCTCTCCCTTGTGTTCTCCTCGGTTTT